GGGCGGCGCCCGGGCCCGCGTTCCAAGCGCAGCCGGATCCGGCGCGCGCGCCCACATTCCATTCGGATGAAAGGGCCCGGGCGGGGACGGAGCGCTGACCCGCCCGCCTGCGGGGAAAGGGCTATCGGAGCTGTCACTGCCAGCGCCACCCTGAAGTATTGCTTAGGTCCCCGTACACTGCCAGCCACTTCTGCCTCGATTTACCAAGGTGCAGACACAGAGAAAAGTATTTTATGGGATGGTGTGAATTAGCGAGATCTATTCCGCGTTGGTCTGCAGCAAAGACAAAGAAATCTTCCCTTCATTTGAAAACTACCAACAAACTACTAATGCTGACTTCCTTGGCTTTTGGTGGCTCAGCTCTCCCTGGTTCTGCTGCTTTTTGGATGGTTTCTTCAATCTTTGGTTGGCTACTCTCTCCAAACGCTGTGAGACCCTAAGGACTCAGCCTTGGGACTCTCAGGTCGCTGGCGCTCCCAGCGTGAGCTCTTCCCCACCCACCATACCTCTCTGCAGGGGCCAGCACTGGCCTCTGAGTAACAGAAGTCTACATCAGGCCCCAGGTCCAGAACTTCATTCTCACTCCATCAAGCACATCCAACTCGATGCTCTGAAATTGTCTCAAAGTTAACTGATTCCAAACTAAAGTTATCTTTCCCCATCCTCTGTTAAGCGTCCTTCACCTCTTGTATTCCAGTTGAGATTTGAGGCATCGCTGTCTCCCTCTCTTCTCAAGCTACACTTCTTAATGATATCCTCATCTCTTCTCATCCTATTCCTAGTCTTTCCCAAATCTTGTTACTCTTGCCCTACAAATATATCTCTGATAGGACCTCTGTTTTCTCATTCTCTTTGTCAATGGCTTAATCCAGAGTCCTTATGGTTATGTTTTGTTCCATATTAACACAAGAAATCTGTCAATTCCACCTCCATTCTCCACTTAAGGGACTCCACTGTTTCTAAATTATTTTCCAGAATCAAAGTTGCTCATGGGACACTGATGCTTAGACACCTCTGGAGGCTTGTGACAGCTTAAAGGATAAGATTTAATTTCTATACTTTGGCTTAGTAAATTTTCATAATCTGCTCCTTTATTTGTCTGCTAGGGCTGCTATAACAAAAGCATGGACTAGTTGGCTTAAACAACAAAAACTGATTTTCTCATAATTCTCAAGGCTGGAAGTCTGAGATCAAGGTGTTGCCAAGGTGGGTTTCTTCTGAGGAGTCTCTGTCTTGTATGTGGCAGTTTTCCTCCACTGTCTTCCCGTTATCTTTTCTCTGCAAGTGTCGGTGCCCTAATTGCCTCTTCGTATAAGGACACCAGTCATATTGGATTGTGTCCTATCCTAATGACCTCATTTTAACTTAATTACCTTTTTAAAAGCCCGTCTCTGAATGTGATCTCATGCTGAGGTACTAGGGGTTAGGACTTGAACATATGAATTCTTGATGGGAACATGTTTCAGCCCATGACAGCTTCCCATCTACTTTTCTAGCATGGTTTCCCTTCCTGTGCATCCATATGTAGCATCCTTTGTTGCTTCCCTGTGTGCTCTTAACATGCTGCTTGTTTTTAGGTGGTCATGTGTACCTATTACCTGATCCTGCAGTTTATCTTTTTAGTTACCCATCTTTCACTTAACTGAGCTTCTCAAAGGCAGGACTGGTGGGTCTGGAGCACAGACATAGCTCATGCTACCCATTAATTCATTTTGAATACATATCCTGTGCACTGAATTAAGAGCTGAGTACGTTGAACAGAGTATGACACAGCTCCGGTTCTCAAGAGGAGACAGACGAATAAACCAGAAATAGCTGTCCTGGGTCATGGTTGCGATGCTTGTCATCTGAGGAATCTCCAAAGGTGCTGAGGCCTTGCACAGCACTCTCAGACGGCATGGGCAATGGATTCTGAAAGAACACATGGCCAAAGGAGAGCCAGGTCTGAAAAGAGAGCACAGAATCTGAACCGAAGGGTTCTGCTGGAGGATAAATCTAGTGCAGTGTTTTAAATTGCAATCAGGAGACCATCACTTGCATCATTTGCATCACTTGCAGCGCTTATTGAAAATATCGATTCCCACATGATAATACTTATAAGTGGGATATAAACATAAAAGCAGCAAATGAATAGGACAGAGACTCATGGACATGAACAATGGACTAGTGGTTACCAGGGGGGAGCGGGGGATGGGGAAAATAAATAAAATGTTACTAAATAAATTAATTAATTAAAAAATATATATCGATAGCACTCCAACCTGATTAATTCAGAATCTCCAAGATTTCAGGCCTGAAATTCTGGGTCTTCTCAGAGAATTCTGGGGCAATGTGTGTTTGAGAAGCACCAATGTGTCCCAAATAGAAGAGCTTTCATGAAATTATCCCTAGCGCATTATCATCAGTGATGCCATCACCTGGAATCCCAGACTTAGAAAAAAATGTCAGCAGTCCTTGAGTCAGAAGTACTATTTGGCTTGAGTTTACAGTGTGCTAACTGTGAACCCTGGGCTCAGATCCGGCTCTGCCACTTCCTAGTTGTGTGACCTTGGGCAAGTCGCTCTACTTTCTCGCACTTATAAAATGAGAATAATTAGAATGTTCACCTCAAAGGATTGTTGTGAGGATTAAACAAGTTAATATAGGTAAGGCACATAGAACACTGGCATACTGTAAATGCCCAAATGTTGGGTATTATTAGCTCTTATATCTTAATCATGATAAATATTTTCATCTATTATAATTGTGTAATTGGAAGTCTTTGTCCCAACCAAACTGTGAGCTTCTTGAGGATAGAGGCTCCATACTTCTTGATTACCCACTATGCTCCAGGCATACCACTAGGACAGAGCGCAATCAATGAAACAGGTGAGAAGCTCCGCCCTTAAAGAGCTTACTTACATTCCCTGAGGATTTTTTGAGGACATGAATGGATCTAGTCAGGAGCCATCATTTTTAGTCACAGAACTAAACCTTTGATAAAGACTGAGAATTCTTTATGTAGAGCTCTTTTTAACTATTACACACCACAACTTCTCTGGGCTCCAAGAACCATGGGAAGAACTTAGGCCCACATGAAGCTATGACAGGTCACTGCTCAAAATGCTATTTTCAGTTTTGTGATATCTGTTCTCCAAAGAGGTTTTGATTTTCCACAGTTCAAGGTTTACGTACAGCGGATTACTGCTTAGTGTGTTCATTTCTTGTTCTTACTATTTTTTGCTAGCAGGTCTATAGTCCAGAGACCTAAGGAAGAGACTACTGAATGGGAAAATACCATCAAGAAATAATATAATAAACAAATTAATGCAATTACTATCTATTGAGTTTAAATTCTGTGCTTTTACTATACATAGCAAATGACATTATTATTTTATTTAAAACATACTAAACAAAGTACTATTTGGACAGATCCGTCAGGGAGTTATAATCTCATGGGAGCGATGCATACACTTAGTCTAAATAACAATGGACAGCAGAATATAATTTAGCATCAAGTCAATAGTGAAGGCTTTCAACACAAGAGGGGCTTGAGAAGAGAGACTACTCAGGCTGGCCTAGGAGGGGAAGGTAGGCAGAGTCAGATCATGGCAGGCCTCAGGTGCATGTTAAGAAATACAGACTTTATTCTGTAATTACTAATAATATTCTCCTTTTTTACAGTGTAAAAATCTGCAACATTTTCCCTAAGACTATACTCTTCTCCCGAAAAGAATTCAGGTTGATGGAAAACGTGTCCACACATACATAATTCAGAATTAGATGTGTGCTTACCCAAAATTTTATTTACAAATCATTGCAAGAAGTGTGATTTAAAAAATTTACAGCAATATTTGTGATCATAACTTGGATACTATTTGGTCTATTGCATCTTTCACCTTACATTCCAGGAGTTTCACTACTAATTTCAATCTTAATCTTCATAAACCCTCCACTAGCCTTTCAATATGTTTCCCGCTCAAACTCTATTCATTCTTTGTGGCTTGCTAATGTTCTCTTTAGTGCTTTTACCCTGACACGTTCTCCCTCATTCAGAGCTCCTAGCTTTTGCCCAAGCAGGACTTGAGGCTGTGAATTTCTCTCTGTACCCACTGAACTCCTTCCTTTAGTACTCATCTTAAAACCATATTTTTCACGTGAAATTTTCCCTTATTAGATAAGTGAGATGTACAAAGTACAAACTTGAATTTTTCTTCATCTGGTTGCTGCAATCCTATTTCCATATTACAAATTTCAGTAATCTATAGGACTTGAAACACTGTGTTGGATAGATAACATAGCCTGAATGCTATTTGG